CTTTTTTCGAATTATTTTGTGAACTGACGTCTTTTTCACACCTGTTGCAGCTGCAATCTTCCGGATAGATTTGCGAGGATTTCGCAAAATTTCACTTCTCACAAGCTCTGTGTTTTCAGGCGTAGTTACAGACGTTAAAGGTCCAGACCGAGGCTCATTTATGACTGATCCAGTTTTTCTGAATTTCTTGACCCACGCCCACATCGGTTGATTTGACGGACCATCCTTTTAATCGGCGGATACCGAAGTGAGAATTAAAGAACGCCTCGCCACATTGATCGAATTGTTGTTCGTAAAATAAGCCTCGGCAGCGAAAGCGCGATGCGCTCCCGTCCACTGACTCATTGCTACTAAACAACCCGCAACACTCCCGCGTCGAACGATACCCCGCACCCCCCGCCGCCGCCTTGCTGCACGCTGTGAACTCGATGCAAAGTGTAAAATCTGCCGGCGAACACCCGTTAGCTGTTCTGGCTTGTCTGATAGTGGGTTTTTGAGACCTTTCTCTATTAGGATAAGCTTTCATTTCCTCAGAACAAATTATTTGCCAATTCTTACTTTTCTTTTGATGTGCATATCTGTTGGTTTGTTCCGTAATTATCTCTATTAGGTATTTTGAGAAAAATTTCTCAAAAGCAACTACAGTCAATCTGGGTATTATCTTTGGCCCACTTTTCGGATGAAAATATTAATAAATGCTTAGGTTAGTCGTTTAGGCTTTGGTACATATACGTTTTAGTGGCTTTAGGTGGTCTTTATTTTAAAAATATTACCACTTCTTATCAGTTTTTAAGTAAAAGTTGGAGAAAAACTTTAAATTCATATCGGCCAAAGTTAGTCTATGAGTTGGGCTTGGATTGCCCACGTCTCAACTAGTGACTGTTTTCGCTTATTTTATGGCATTTATAACGTATGTTAACATTGGTCTACGTATTGGTATTATAAATATAATGCCGACAGTCATAGACAAAGTTTTTTAAGACAGTTTGTTTTTTCAATTAAATATGGGGAAAATAAAATGTTGCCATGGAAAAAATCAACATTTCTATTTATTAACATCTATTTAGTGAACAATTAGGAACTTATATTTCATACAACTACTTTGAGGCACTAAAAACAACCAAATTTTTTTTCGTATCGATATGGAGAAAAGTTTGCTTAGTCCTACGGAAAATGAGATCAAAATCTTAATAATTAATCACCCCATTCCATAGCTAGGAAGTCATCTTCTATTGAGTAATATCCTTTATTTCTTTTAATTTGGTTGTCATTCAGCACCCTAATAATATCTTTGTCATTCACTAAAACACATTCAATCTTTTTAGGGCAAATCCGCCCTTCTTCAGCCTTTTGCAGGAAAGAAACTTTATGTTTCGGATGAGTTGACATTGACATTCGTCCTGGAAATAGGGTTCTTTCATAGTTCACAATGCAATAACGATCCACAGCTTTTAGTGCATTATTAACCATCTGAAGCTCCAGTTCAGCATCAGCACTAACTTCAAATCTCTATAATGCAATCTTCTTCTTGGGCACTTTTTTCTTCCTGTGCCTTTTCTTCAAGGTTATCGCTCTTATGAAGCACATTTGAATAGCGTTTTGTAAATTTTCTACATCATCATCTTCTTTCTCACTCATTTTCTTTTTATTTGTAACTAATTATATTTTCTGGTGTCTTCTGTACATCTTCCAACTGTTTATGACACACACTATGGCCTTTTTTCTTCTTTTTTATTTCATTATTCGTTTTGGTAACCGTAGGTCGTCCTCTTTTCTTGGTCGCTTTTTTTGGTTTATTTTTAGATTCTTCTCTTTGGTCAATGAACTTCTGGATTTCTTCCACGGATACACTTTTCCCGGCTACAACTGGAATCTGGAACTTTTTATTTGCTTCACCGCTAAGTCAATGTTTCTTATGTCATCAATGTATCTCTTGAAACGTTCTCCGACGCTTTCTCGTATTTCTTCTATGGGCTTTCCATAATCAGGAACTTTTTTTAGAGGTACGTTGACATCACAAGGAAACAATCCTGTTTCTTTTAATCCTGCAATTATGTTTTTTCCCGCCGTGTCTTTTCCCAAACCCAGAGTCCTGTGTAATAACGAAGCAAAGACATTTTTGGGAGAGCTGTTGCAATCTTTCCACGTCTAGTGTTTCTCCAATCATTCAAAACAGAACGCCAATTAGTTTTTAAAGAACTAAAATAGGCAACGTCAGGCTGGAATAAATGTGTGGAGTTTGGTATCAAGCACATAAACTTAATATCATTCTCCTCGAATTGGGCTAAGGTTTAATTGAAATATGGGAGCTTAGATTGTCCCCTATTATAGCCTTTTTTCCTGGTTTGGCTTTAAGAGCTGGTAAAACCTGAGACACAAACCATTCATCAAATGTAGCAGCATCCATCCAGCCACCTTTTGTTACACTCATTCTCGTTCCAGTATAGTTCAATTGAGTAAATCGATCGATTACTGTGAGACAATATCGGTACCCTTGCGCTGATGGTAATGGTCCTATTAGATCTATGTGAATCTGCATAAATCTGGCACGTGGTAATTTGAAATTGTCTATGGGTGAATTTACATGCCTAGTGATTTTTGCACGTTGACATGCCAAGCACGTTCTGGTCCATTCTCGGCAGTCTCTTTTAATTCCTGGCCACACAAATCTTTCCGCTACCAGCTTGGCTGTGGCGTTCGCTCCGGGATGGCTCAGAGAATGAAGGCTTTCAAAAACTTGCCTACGAAGTTCCTTTGTTACGTATGGTCTCGGGGGATTGCTTCTCTCATCGCAGTACAGTTCGGTATGAGTACCTGGTATTTTAAGTTTTTTAAGACACAAGGAAGTATTACCTTTCAGAAGTAGCTGTAATTCCTCGTCGGAGGCTTGAGCTCTAGCTAACACTGTCATATCAATGGGCTGAGTAATGTCTTCAACCCTTGATAAAGTATCAGCTACCACGTTGTTTTTTTACTGAGATATGTCTTATGTCAGTACTAAATTGAGAAATAAAATCGAGATGTCTGAACTGTCTTGGTGAGCAATTTTCTTTACGTGAGTGAAATGCGTAACAAAGGGGCTTATGATCTGTATAGATAGTAAATTCTCTGGCTTCCAGCATATACCTAAAGTATTTGATAGCTTCATAGACAGCTAGAAGTTCACGATCATAAAGCGGTCTACACACCAAAGCCGCTGACCCGGCGGCACAGCCCGGCGGCTTAGTGCCGGCGGGTTAACCCGGCGGCTTCTGAATGTCCAAGCCGAACGACTTTGTCGGCGGCAATGCCGGCGGCATGTGGTATTCTAGTAATTGCCAAATAGTCAATAGAGATTGGACGTGTGTGTTTCGAATAATTCAGAAGTAGTATTTTCAGATTGACATGGAGGAGGACGATAACAGTGATTTAATAATAGCAGTTTGTGGAGTTATTATCGGTGGATCACACGAAAATGTTGGGTTAGGCCAAGTTTAATGAGTCGCAATAAATACAGTACTTGTCAAAGATTAAGTGATTTAAAGGAAGACGACTTGGTTCTATACAAACCCAATTCTTTTAAGACTTTCCTGTTATTAACCAGTACCGACTTTGAATATTTACTGAATATTGTTGGACACAAAATAGCTAAACAAGACACAAATTACAGAAAAGCAGTTTCACCAGTGGAAAGATTGTCAATAACGTTAAAATACCTAAGCTCAGGAAATTCTTTTAGTAGCCTGTGCGACGTCTTTAAAGTATCTCCTCAACTAATTTCAAGCATTATTCCCTGAAGCATGTGATGCTTTAGTTGAAGGACTTTCAGATTATGTGAAAATTCCAAGGAGTCAGGAAGGATGGAGAGAAATTGCAGATGAATATTTAAAAAGATGGCAAATACCCAATTGTCTTGGGTCAATGGATGGGAAACACATAAAACTTCAATGTCCCCCAAAAAAGTGGAAGTGATTATATAAACTATGTATAAAAAATATTTCAGTATTGTGCTCTTTGCTTTAGTAGATGCTGATTACAACTTTTTGTACGCTAATGTGGGATGTCGGGGTCGGATTTCAGATGGTGGGGTTTTTAATAATTCAGCATTAGGTCGATTGTTAAATGATAATGAATTGAATATACCACATAAAACCCCTTTACACGGAAGGAATCTACCAGTACCGTATTTTTTTTGGGTGATGATGCGTTTCCTCTGCAACCCCATATTATAAAGGCTTATGATGGTAATCACACAATGGGATCATCTAAGAGGGTTTTTAACTATCGCGTATGTCGAGGGCGAAGAGTAGTTGAAAACGTGTTTGGGCAGTTAACACACAAATTTAAGATTTTTCTTAGAACTATTCAGCTAATCCCAGAAAAAGCTACAACTGTAACTTTGGCGTGTATACATTTATTTAATTATATCAAACGAACCGCTGCAACTCAGCAAAACGAATACGATACTGAAAATAATCAAGGAGAAGTCTTTCCCGGTGAATGGCGTAGACATCTTGAAAACGACAGTTGCTTAGATAATATGTCAGGAGAAGACAATCAAACCTCGGATACTACAGTGACCGCCGAGGATACAAGAGTGGAGTTGACTCATTATTTTCTTTCTAGTGTCGGAGGATTAGAATGGCAATATAACCAATAACTCAACTCATATAATTAATATTATTTTTAATCATTAAGTAATCCATGTATTATCCATTAAATCTAAAATCGTAAATTACACATAGTGAGATACACTTTTATTGTGATTCGTATAATAAAGTTTTAAACAAAATAAGAAATGTGTTTTTGTAAACCAATAACATGATATTAACTATTGGTAACAGTAGAAGTGTCACTAAACTAAAATTAAAACCTTGCTATTCCTTTCGCACATATGTCAAGCTCTACTCGTGTGAAGGGAATAGTCAACACTAATTTTAAATTTAACTTTAATGGGGCTACCTATAGCTACCTTTATTATACCAAAAAGAAAATTAAATATTTATAACATATTTTGAAGATTACTTTATAACACTATCAGAAGGATTTAGAGCTAGGTATTCTTCAGCAAATGTTTCTAGTGACGAAGGTTGAATTGTTTGTGGATCTGGGTTTGTTTGAGCAGAGTATTCAGAAGAAGTTAAGTTATTTGTAGAAGGGCTTACAACCGTCTGTTGAAGTGAAGATGCTGTATAGTATCCTGGATGACTGTGTGAACTAGAAACACTACTTGGTCTTGCAAAATCCGTAAATGTATCGGATCTATATCCAGTTTCGGCTTCAAATATTATATTGTTGATCCGATGTCTCACAATAGCTTTCATTTGTCGATCCATTTGTCTTAACTGACCCGCAATATAATCTCTAAATAAACCATCCTCATCTTTTGTCACATTTGGTCGTTGGGAGACATTCTTCATAATATTCAATGCTTCGGATATCAACTCTTTATTAGGGTTGATTTTAGGACGTTTATTTCGTTGCCAAGTTGTATTTTCTGGCGACATCTGTGGTAAATCATTTTGATTTGATTGTGAATCTCGTTGTGAATCGTGGCTCGTCGACGGTGTGTCCTGCGAAAAAAAGACGAAAAAGACTGCCCGTTTAGCCGTTTTACTTTTATTTAATAAAAAATAAATAAGTATATCTAGTCAAAATCAACATTTATTGTGTATTTTTTTATTATGGATTTTATTAAAGGCACTGAATAAGTCTTTAACATTTCAATTATTTTTTTTTCAAACACATTTTTTTTTACCTGAGTGGCAACTATTTTGCCAATGCACGGGAAAGGGTTAAAATGTAAATACAAAGATACACTAATAAATAAACTAAAATAATTATGTCTATGGGGCCCTAGTTGCCTGATTATAAATAAAAAAAAATTAAATCTTTACTTACAGTATCCAGTAGGCACATTTTTGTTCTGCAGAAAATTTAGTGATTTGTAGGCAAACCATTTACTATGATAAATATCATCAGTACCCGCACCAGACTTATTTGAATTATCTTCTTTTTTTTCTCTCGGTAATAATGACTAGTTAAATTTTTTTATCTTTCTCTCGATTTCCGGAACATCAGTAGCAAATTCACTGGCAATTTCATTAAATGCGTCGTAACGCTTTGGCCGGCTTTTGTAGTCACGGTTTTTTAGGGTTCCATAATATTTCTTTTAAATGATAGAGGTCTATTAGTTTTATAACTGTTGCATCGTCCCACTCCATATTGGTTAGTTGATAAAAAATAAAAGTGCCGACACTTCACAACAACAGAGAATGAATAAGTGATACGTCACTACTCTATGAAAGCCGGTGGCCAACTGACTGAGTGAGTGGAGAGGGATGCCGTCGGCATCGGCATGCTGCCACGCCGGCTTGCCCGCGCGGGCGCAAGCCGGCGGCATGATTGTACAAAATAAGGCCGGCGGGTTGGGCCGGCGATCCGTGCCGCCGGGTCAGCGGCTTTGGTGTGTAGACCGCTTAAGGCGAATACTTTTTTGTGCTACACTTAGCTTTTGTGAAAAAAAAGCAAGTGGCTGCCACGAGCCTTCTTTAAGCTGCTGCAATACTGCGCCAATAGCAGTGTCCGAAGCATCCGTTATTAAAGCTATTTTAGCAGAACAGTCAGGATGCGCTAAAAGCGTAGCCTGGCATAGACTCTGCTTACATGATTGAAATGCTTCTAGCTGCTCAGTGGACATCTGAATCGGATGAGAACCTTTAACTGCACCTTTCAAGATTTCGTTCAGCGGTGCTTGATACTTAGCTGCCTCGGGGATCAACCTCCTGTAAAAGTTAAGCATGCCCAAGAATCTTCTTAGCTCTTTGACAGTTTTTGGCTTTGGAAAGTTATTAATTGCTTCTACTTTGGATGGTTGCGGCTTTGAACCCTCTGCTGAAATATGATGACGAAATCCAAACGTCATGTACGGGAATTCGTAAAGGTCAAAAGGCTTTGTAATAGCAGTTTTTGGGATATCAGCTTCGTTGACAGGAATTTGATTGTAGGCTTTGACTAAATCGATCGTTGTAAATACTTTGCAACCGGAAATATTTTGAGCGGAATTCTGAATGTGACGTATGGGGTAGCGGTCTGGAATCGTTCTAGCATTCAGTGCTCTATAGTCACCACATGGTCGCCACCCATTATCCTTCTTGGGTGTGAGATGCAATGGTGATGACCATGGTGATTCTGAAGGCCTAGCAATACCAACCTTTAACATTGCTGCAAACTCCTCTTTTGCAATCTTTAATTTATCAGGCGATAGTCGCCTAGGTGTACTAGCTACTGGCGGGCCCGGAGTGGTCCGAATATGGTGCACTGTATTGTGCTTTGGCACATGGTGAACCCCCGATGGGCGTGTAATATCAGGAAACTCTTTTAAGACATCATGATAAACCGAATCACCAGTAGCAATCTTAATAGAAAATATATCTAAATTAGCAGGCAAAGCCGTGGTGGAGAGTGTAGTGACACTGTCTATGAGGCGCTGATTTCTACAATTGACAACCAAATTGTAAAATGACAAAAAATCTACACCTATAATTGCTTTTGTAACATCTGCTACAACAAACTGCCAAGTAAAGTCACGGCGCAAGCCTAAATTTAACATTAAATGAACATACCCATAAGTATTTATTATCGAACCATTTGCTGCACTTAGTTGATAATTAGTCTTACGCCTATTTTCTTTCATTGCCGCTCGTGGAAAAACACAGAGATCGTTGCCTGTATTAACGAGAAACTGCATCTTCGTGTTGCGGTCAGTAACGAATAAGCGACCAGTACTTGGGCAATCGTAGGTCGCCGTTACAGATTGCCTTGCACATTTCCCGACTGGGTATAATCGCATGGTTTAATGCACTTACTTGCACGATCGCCATATTTATTGTGATACCAGCACATAGGGAACCTCCTGTGACTAGAAGGCGACCTGGTGTTGCTTCTTGGGCGGCTTCTGCTTCGTAATCTAGGACGTCTCTTGTTTAGCTGAGTTGTTAGGGTCTTCACTTGCCTGGTGAGCTCAGCTATTTGACCTTCCAGCTTCTGTACTCTGTCCTCTGGTGCATGGCTTGATGTAGACGCTACTTGTGGATGTGGATATGGAGGAACAACGTCGTGAATCTTATCGGCTAGCTCCGCTAGTGCCTCAAGAGAAGTGGTCGTTTGTGACACTATTATAGTTTGCGTGCTGTTTCGTTATCGACTCATCCAGATAGTTCGAAGAAAGTCGTCAGGTATGCCTGGTCCAGCCAAATGTTGTAAGTGCCGTAGGAATTGTGAAGGTTTTCTATCGCCTAGTTCTTCATGCATTAGAAGTTGTTTTACTTTCCTGTCTCTAGACGCAGACGGCCGTTTGATTAGTCTTGTTTTTAGCTTTTCGTACTTATCTGTGTTTGGAGGGGAGATAATTATATCTTCGACCTCTGATGCATATTGCGGTTCGAGTTGACTAAATATGTAAAAGAATTTCGTCGCATCTGCTGTTATATTTGAAATCGCAAACTGTCCTTCGATTTGCGCGAATCAAATTGCTGGTTTTTCCGGCCAACATGGCGGTATTCGAACACCGACTCGATAAACATCGGATGATGACGCGAGATTTTGTTCGGCGGCCTTTTGTTTCTCACTCATAATTATATTGTGTACTTTTACGGGATCACCACTTTATAGTTCAATTTAATATTTGTTATGCTGCTTGTGTAAGTAAAATAAAATTCAATAGTCTTTCAGTTTAAATAATTATAATTTACACAAGTTACAAGTCTTTACAACACACAGAAGGAGAATAGAGTGATAGTTATATATAGAAAGATAACACAGGAACTAAGAGTCTCAAACGAACGAATTAATTGTAATAACAGTTTCTTATCACAAGTAAATAGTCAACAAACGAACAGTATGGCATACGTAAACGTACTGGTGGCATGGTGCGAACTCTCGTAGCAAGGGCAGCCAGCGGTGAACCGGTTTGCTGTTGTTGAGTCGCCCTTGCACCGACCGCTGCATTAAACAAGCCACTATATTTCTGTAGAATGGTACGTCCGTAATTATAAAATATAAATTTATATAGAAATAATTTAAAATTAAATATTACAATTATAGTAATTATAGTATTGGGTAAGACCAGTTAGTTAATGGTCTATTCAGGCGTTGGCGCCATCGGTCATCTGTGTCTACCACTGCGTTACAGCGTATTAGAACAGAAAGGTTACAAGATGAAGGTGAGAAAAAGAAGTTCAAATGTAGACTGAAAGAAAATATAAGTGGTTTGGATGAATTATGTATGAAGGAGTTAGACTTGGAGAATATATGGCAAAATGTTAAGGTGGAAAGAATGAATGAGGAAAGAGTGACAAAGAAAATTTATGTTGCAGAAGTGAATGGCAGAGTCGGAAAGGGACGTCCTAGGCGAAAATTTATCGACCAAATTGGCGATTTATTGAAAACGGGCCAAATTAGGAGTACCCTTAACCGACGAGCATGTATGCGGAGGTGTATGGATGTGAAGGAGGCGAGAGAGGTGTGTCAGGATCGTGCCAAATGGAAGTCTGTAGTCTCTGCCTACCCCTCTGGGTGACAGGCGTGAGTGTTTATGTATGTTATGTTTATTACAATTACACTAAACAATTAACTATTTTACTGTTATTTATAAAGTAATTTACATCAATTAATATTTTGCACACTACACATCGGAGTGTTGGCCGCTTTGATGGTAGATGAAATCTCATCTTTGGACACAGTGATAGGGTCAGAGGCGGTAGGGGGCGAGTTCCTGCGACGGACCTCGTCCTCCACTAGTTGGATGTGTATGGGGTCAGTGGGTAGCGAGCTTCGATATCCAGGTGTGGGGGTAGTACAGCTTATGGAAGATCCATCAGGATGGCATGACACTGCATGTATTGGGTAAGACCAGTTAGTTCCTCCACTCGATGGTAGGAGGGGTACTTGCAAATCCCCAAGTATGCCTGGAATCCCCTGGTTCAGATTGCATGCATTCACTCCAAAGTACAAATCATGATGCTGACGAACATTCTTAGGTGTGTAGGTGAATTCATGATTGACGCTGGCCAGATGAATACTGATGGTACTAGCTATCGTGGGTGCCGATGTGGTCAAGGCAAATGGGACTCTATTCCCTTTCCCATCAATGTGTTGCATATGCAGAACTAGGTTCATTTTGACAAACATTCTTTAATTCATCTAACGTTAACTGCCAGTCGTCACTGCTTTCGATTAATTTAAAAATTTCGTCAATCGCAGAGTTTATAGCCTCGTTGACAACGCCCAATTTTACCGCCAGTATTAGGTCTCAGGAAATATAGGTATTTAGCATCAGCTGCTATTAAATCATACTCAAAATTAATACGTGTAATGACAGCTTTTGATACGTCATCAGAACGATCTTTAGCTAATTTCAAAAGGGATTCTTTAAAGTAAAGTGTAGAAACTTTGTAATTTTTTTTTCGAAGATTCTGCGATTTCTTTTTCTCAGTCGCTTCATCTGCTTCATCGCCACAAAATAAACAGTTTTCTTTAAAACAAACCCTGGATTCACTTACTCGCGCTCTAGTACCAGGTGGACTTACTTTTGAAGTACTGGCTTCTTCATTCTCACGTTGTCTTTTGAATGCAGAGATTAAACTTTTCCGGGTGTATGCTTTTCTGCAATCCACGTGGATTGTAACGGACTTTTCACTTCTTAAATTCTCAGTAAATTTATCATTTCTCACAACACTTGCATCGATTAAAGTTGGCATTCCACGACTAACCACAACAGACAACAAAATTGTGACATTTTGTTTTCACTATTGATCAGCACAAACTCTAATAGTAGACGCTTGTAATAAATACGTATATTCAATCGAACAACACGTTTTACACTAAAAGAAGCAGGTATAAGAATGACACCACACGAACAATAGAATAGCCAGATATTGTTCAAGGCCATGCGGGTAGAGGGGATTCTGTCTGACTTCTTTTCAAATGTATGTTTATATATATACATATATATATATATGTATATAATGACTTGAACATTAATTCGACATAAGAATTATTAAAGGGTTTTTAACTCTAAAGTGCTTAAAATCTTTGTTTATTCCTTACGGACAATAGTTTATAGTGAATAAAATAATTTGCATAAAAAGATCGAATAATCTTTTGAAAAGTGTGTGTGGTAAATATAAATCGTTACAAAATTCAAAACCAACTCCATGTGCTATGATGTACGACATCCATCGAAGTGTAGCTAACCTAGCACAGTTGATCGATATTATTGTTACGAGCTTGAGGTTCGTGACAATAAAAATTGCCGATAAAATTACCTAAATTAACACTTTAATTTTCTTTACACAAATTAAAACTTAAAACACTAATAATTAATCACACTAATTCACTTTATTTCGCTCCGAAGCTTCGCTTGCGTCGCCAACTCCAATACTTCCCCGATCGCATCTTGCAGCGCCTATTTATGTAAATTAGCAATGAAGCATCCGGAATATTCAAGTAAATGCGCGCAAAGCGACGAGTGTTCGAGTGTAGATTTTCTAGAAACTTAGTTCTTCGGATGGCGCTGTCCGTTGAAAGATTGGTGATGTCATTTTCTGCAATGCTCCCCTCGCTCTCGTTCCTGACACTAGATGGCGCTAGTTGACTTATTCACGCAACACTGCCCCCTCCTAAGACATGCTCGTCCCGAGCATTATCGGTCCCATAATAACGCCCCAAGCGATCCACATGGACGATCTTAGGAGTCCCTCTTGCGCCTTTCTGTATCCGGTAGGTCACATCGTTGACCCTGGTTACAATCCGGTACGGGCCGTCCCATTTAGCTTGAAGCTTAGGAGATTTCCCTTTGCTGCGGACTGGATTGTGCAACCACACTAATGAACCTTCGTTGAACCCTTTATTGTTCATTTTGCGGTCGTACCGGGTTTTCATTTTCTCAGACATTTGCTGGCCCGATTGTCTGACGTGCTCATAAATGTCATTCATTTTGTTCCGCAAGTCAGTTGCATAATCGGTTATACTGCGTGGAGCATCAGGTGGTATCCCGGTGATCAGGTCCGCAGGCAGCCGTAATTCTCTCCCAAAGTTTGCGAAAGCTGGTGTCACTGATGTACTTTCGTGAACAGCGCTTCGATATGACAACAAAAACGGTTGTATGTGCTTGTCCCAATCTCGTTGCCGATTGTCTACAACTTTTGCTAGGTACCTCTCCAATGTCTGATTAAATCGTTCTACCATTCCATCAGATTGCGGGTGATAAGAAGTCGTTCTTGTTTTATGAGTACCCATAACTCGGCAAGTTTCCTGGAATATTTTAGACTCAAAATTCCTTCCTTGATCGCTGTGAATCTTAAAAGGTACTCCAAAACGACAGAAGACTTCATGAACTAGTTTATCTGCAACTGTTGAAGCTTCTTGATTTGGAATGGCGAAGACTTCTGGCCACTTAGTTAAGTAATCCATCACAACCATGAAATACTTGTTACCGCTTTCACTCTCCGGAAACGGCCCCGCCACGTCAATGGCTACTCTTTTCCATGGTGCATCAACATTGTACAACTTCAATGCACCTAATGATTTCTTATATTTACGCGAACACTACACATTGAAATAATACTAATTTTTACGGAATTTATCGCGTATATTTAACTTTTTTACCCGACGTTTCGAGAGCTTTACAGCACCCATGGTCACGGGAAGGACTGAGATGTTCAACGTCCAGCTGTCATAGTTAACCGCGGTTACCATAGATTAAGATTTAACTTTTGTTCCGATCTACACAGTATGAACTTATGGTATCATGGAGTCTTGCAGTTGTATGTTTGGGTTGGGATTTAATTTTATTTATTATAGGATCCCAAGCAGATGGTAGCACCCAGCCATCTTCTCTATTGAAATTAGGATGTTTTTTGATTTCAATAGCCTCGCGAATCATCCTTGGAAGGAATCGGTGTTCTTTAGCGAGGATTTGTGGTCTATCAAATCTGATGTAGTGACGGGGGCGATCCTGTACATGTTCACAGACTGCAGACTTCCCGGAGCGTCGATTCTTCACATCAGCTATATGTTCTTTGACGCGGGTTTTAATTGATCTTTTAGTTTGTCCTATGTAGGAGAGACCACATTCACAATCAAGCTTGTACACTCCTGCATCTTGCAGAGGGACGTTACACTTGACTGATGGTAAAAACTGACCAATCTTCTTCGGCGGCTTGAAGTATGTTTTGATGGAAGCGCGCTTCAAGATGTAGCCAATCTTGTCAGTGACTCCTCTAACATACGGCAGTACAGCAGGTACACGCTCGACTGTGGCCGGCTTCACTCGTTCTCTGTGACGTAGGCGCGGGACCCGAAGCTTGTTGTCATACAAAACTTGCTTGACATGTTGGAGCTCGGCAGCCAGGTGTTTACTGTCACAGATCCCTCGTGCTCTCTGAAACAAAGATTTACCCACGGTAGCTAACTGTGAAGGATGGTGGTGAGAATCACCGTTTAAATATCTATCTGTATGGGTCTTTTTTCTATACACAGTATGGCTCAAGGTGTTATCAGGATTCCGAATTACTAACACATCTAGAAAAGCTAAGGAATTGTTTGCCTCTAACTCCATTGTGAACTGAATTTTAGTATTTATAGAGTTAAGATGGTCTAAAAATGCAGTTACTTTATCTAAAGGTAGAATTGTGAAAGTGTCGTCTACGTACCGCTTGTAGAATCTTGGATTTATGGGAGAAGTAAGCAGGGCTTTCTCCTCAAAGTCTTCCATGAATATGTCGGCGACAATGGGAGATACAGGTGAGCCCATCGCCACACCATCTACTTGCTTGTAGAACTCCTCCTTCCACAATAGGTAGCCAGATGTAAGGCAGTGTCTGAGTAATACTGCATATTCTACGGGCATGTTGTTTTCTTCCAGCCTTCTAGTTACAATTGAGATGCAGTCTTCAACAGGTAAGCATGTAAACAATGACTGCACATCAAAACTGACCATAGTTTCATTGTCTGCCAGACGTAGGTCTTTAATCTCGCTGACAAAATGGTAGGAATCCTTTATGTGTGCTCTTGTATGTCCCCTGAGCGGTGAGAGTATTTTCGCTAAGTGTTGAGCCAATCTGTAAGTTGGTGAATCGATTTGGCTCACTATGGGGCGTAATGGAGCATTGGGCTTGTGTATTTTTGGTAACCCATACAACTTTGGTGATTTGGCGCACGTAGGTATTATCCATTTTACGTCCAGATTTAATTTTTCGGAGTGTTTCTTTATGAGGTCACTAGTTGTTTTTAGTGTGCTGTTTGTTGGGTCGTTTTTAACCTTTTTATAAGTACTTACATCCGACAAAAGTTCTTGTATTTTAGAATTATAATCTGACGTATCCATGACCACCGTGGCGTTTCCCTTATCTGCGCGGAGAATCGTAAGTTCTGGTTTATTGCGTAGGTTCTTTAACGCTATAAATTCGTCTCTGGGAAGATTCGGTTTAGGCACTGAACATCGACGTAACATAGACGAAATGTCTTGACGTATCGCCTCCAAATCTTCTTTCCGCATATTGTTTTTAAATAAACAGTCCTCGACACTACAGATAATTTCTTCGTACGGTAATCTGCTTGGAGTTATAGCATAATTTAGTCCTTTGGATAACACCTTTATTGTTGCATCATCCAGTGTTTGTTTTGACAGATTATAGAACGCGATTAATCTATGATCTGTGTTTGTCAATGGTTGCTTTTGGTTCTGGCATTGATTCGGATGTTTGACATTTGATTTGGCCGTTAATTTTTACAAAAGCAACCGCCCGATCATAGTTTTCTATAATTGTCACAAACACTGATGATGCAACAATAATGTTATCCAAAACTACATTACGCTATAACTCCAAGCTTACCGTACGAAGAAATTATCTGATTCGAGGACTGTTTATTTAAAAACATATGGGAAAGAAGATTTGAGGCGATACGTCAAGACATTTCGTCTATGTTACTCGATGTTCAGTGCCAAACCGAATCTTCCCATACGTTAAAGAACCTACGCAATAAACCAGAACTTACGATTCTCCGCGCAGATAAGGGAAACGCCACGGTGGTCATGGATACGTCAGATTATAATTCTAAAATACAAGAACTTTTGTCGGATGTAAGTACTTATAAAAAAGGTTAAAAACGACCCAACAAACAGCACACTAAAAACAACTAGTGACCTCATAAAGAAACACTCCGAAAAATTAAATCTGGACGTAAAATGGATAATACCTACGTGCGCCAAATCACCAAAGTTGTATGGGTTACCAAAAATACACAAGCCCAATGCTCCATTACGCCCCATAGTGAGCCAAATTGATTCACCAACTTACAGATTGGCTCAACACTTAGCGAAAATACTCTCACCGCTCAGGGGACATACAAGAGCACACATAAAGGATTCCTACCATTTTGTCAGCGAGATTAAAGACCTACGTCTGGCAGACAATGAAACTATGGTCAGTTTTGATGTGCAGTCATTGTTTACATGCTTACCTGTTGAAGACTGCATCTCAATTGTAACTAGAAGGCTGGAAGAAAACAACATGCCCGTAGAATATGCAGTATTACTCAGACACTGCCTTACATCTGGCTACCTATTGTGGAAGGAGGAGTTCTACAAGCAAGTAGATGGTGTGGCGATGGGCTCACCTGTATCTCCCATTGTCGCCGACATATTCATGGAAGACTTTGAGGAGAAAGCCCTGCTTACTTCTCCCATAAATCCAAG